TATTCATTTTGGAACATGATGATTATGCAAGTAACAAAGATGATTTGACAAGTTATGACTCCAAGTGGTTTAAAAACCAGAAAATCTGAAATAGATTCTAAGTCTGTAAGCAAGTGTATGAAAATTGAATGATTTGCATAATTGAGTAAGACTCATTGTAAGCAAAGCAGACAAGAAAGAAAAATGTTTTCTAGCTAAGCAAAGACTTGTTAATGGATTCAACAAATTCATAGTATGACTATGATTACGATGAAACCTTTACATTAGTCATCTTGCAAAGATCTATTAAAGATATTTTAGTGATTTCTACCTTATAATATTTGGTAGATGGATTTCAAAACACTTTCTTGAAATTGTTCATGAAAGAAGATCTGTATACGATACAATCAGAATGGCTTTGAAAACCAATAATCATAGGCATGCATAAAATATCATTAATGGATTGAAGTTAGCATCTGGGAGTTAATGTTCTTAATTTTGTGAGTTAATCAAATCGTTTGATGTTCTCGTAAAATGAAGAAAAGTTCTTGTGTGTACAAGATGTTTAGTGGGAGCTATGAAGTCTTCTTGGTCTAGTATAAAGAGAAAATTATTCATTTCTTGAATAGTCAAGTGGTGGGTAGCGCATTTTGTATGAAAAACCTTGAAGAGAATGATGAGTACATTTGGGATTCAAAATCTATAGAGATAGGTTTTGATTGATGTTTGAGTTTGGTTAAGAAGCTTATATTGATAAGATTCTTATAAGGTTTAACATTATATTGAAAGGAGTTTCAATCCCATGTAACATGGCACATTACTTAATGATTCAATAATTTGAGAAAGGTTGATGAAATTAAGGTTTTGAGTGATGATCCTTATGCAATATGCAAAGGATGCATCATGCATGTCATGGACTATACTCGTCTATTTGATTCACGTGTTTTTTAGAACAAGTGATGATAGATTTCAATCAAAATCCAATATAACGTTGGAATACAAATTATAAATTCCAAAGTTCCTTGCAAAAGGGCGAAGGAAAATTCTTAATGTATGGAGATGAATATGATTATAAAATTTAGAAATTACAAAATTCATGTTTATGAGAATGTCTCATGAACTCTACTTACTAAACCCCTTCCATTTCCAAAGCATGAGAAACATGCTAATGAAACTGGATTGAGGCAAATGATGTAATTAGAAGTTGTATTTGTTTTTGGAGAAAAACAAGTTACATGTGTAATACATTCATTTGCAGAATTATGTTTATCAATTGAAACAAAGTTTCAATCTTATTTAATCGTGGTTTCAAGATTAAATAAAATGTCCAAAATAGTTATGGATTGATGGGCTCATCAGGTTAATTTATTTAAATAACCCGGTGAATGAAACCCCACAGGTGAACTAAATTCATACATTATTTAAGTTCCTAGTTCGGAATCATTAAAGTGGACATAAATGATTTCATAAATTGGACTAGCATGTAAGATTGATTGGATAGCGCAGTTTCATGGGCTATAGGAGCATAGTGAAGCTCGGTCAATCACATGGGTATGCATGAATGATGCATGATCGAAATATAGACCTACTTTGAAGTTCAAGTATAGAACTTCCGGATATATTAGTGGATTCCTTTGACATGAGTAGAACATTGATTTCATTCAATGATTGATGTAACTGTGTACATCCAAACGTCTTCTCGTAACTGGAGATTATAAAGGGTGTTTCCTGGTTACCTCATGATTTGAGTGGGACCCTTGGTTGCCACAAGATTGGATTGAGTCTACCTATTTAATTAGGAATGTGTCTTGGCCCCTTGAAGAGGGAGAATTCAGAAAATGTATGGTCGTGCTCAAATGGATTACATAGTAACCATTTGTTTTGTAATTCTCACTCAGTTTTCAAGAAAAGATTTGTAGACTAATATGATCACGACATGAGATGCAATCATATTATCAAATCGACACACAATGACTTAAGGAATTTGAATATTGCGCACTTGTCTCAGACAAGTGGGAGATTGAAGGAATTGTGTCTTCGATAAATGCAATTACTAGATATATCAAGGATCACTATTATGGAGATAATAAGTTCGTTCTTTTGGGTCGTCATTATCTGTTGCTAGACTATGATCAATGATCTTTGGGCTAGTCAAATAGTCCAAAGCCTACTAGAATGGATCCTATGAGGTCACACAACAACGGTATTGGGTTAAGCAAGTAAGAGGCCCATTAATGGGCCTCATGAGCAACTAACTAATCATGAAATGGATTGGGCTAGCATAGTTAGATGAGAATTAGGTTTTGGGCTTTTGACATGGGCTCTTATTTAGAGATGATATCTATAAATAAGATCCATGTCTAGGGTTGCTTGAAAGCAGTCATAATTCACACACAATGTATTTTGACATCAAGGCAACCAATCCCAAAGACCCTAATTCCTCTCTCTAACTCACGACTTTCTCTCTCCTCCCCTCGTCCGTACGGCCGGCCACCTTGGTGGCGCGTGTGGTGGTTCATGGTGGTTCGTTGCTCGCACTTCTCCATAGAAGGTCAATTGAAGGGTTCAATTGCAACTAACTAGCATTAGTGGAGGTCTTAATCTGTGCCCGTGGACCAAGTAGAGGAATCACGCTTGAGGTTCTTTATCTCCCAATGTTCTTGCTCGATCGCACGTGGAATCACGCTTCAAAGGTACGATTATATGTTCTTTATGTGTTATGCATTAGATCTTGGGATTAGTTACTATATGAATATGATTCATGTTTATTTCCGCCGCGTAATACCTATAATTCCCTACAATATGATCATTATTTGTTGTCATAAATGTTCGTGGTAGGCTTGAATTAAATAAATCAGTGTAAGTTGTAAACCGGTAAATTGGTCGTTTAAAGGTAAATTGGATGGTTCTACCCACCCAATTGGTCTCCCGGAGGATATTTGGGACCATGTTAAACATTTCGGCAAATATACGGACGAAAAATAAGTCAAAAGATTCCAAAATTGAAGGTTAATATCCATGCTTTTTGAGAAATTTTGAATGTTTCGGGGACCGGTGTCGAAAAACATTGAGATGTTAGGGGATACATCTCGGGGTCATATAATGCTGTTTGGATCCATATATGATCATTATATGTTTTCACAAATGTTCGTGGTAAGCTTGAGTTCATGAAATCAGTGCAAGTTTTAAACGGGTAAATTGGTCGTTTAAAGGCAAATTGGATGGTTCTACCCAGCCAATTGGACTCCCGGAGGTTATTAGTGACCATGGTAAAATTTTCGGTAATTTTTATTTTTAGGTGAAAATAGTCAAAAAAATTCCAAAATTGAAGGCTAATATCCACTCTTTTTGAGAAATTTTGGGTCGGGTTTGAGTTGGTAAGAGTAGGTCGGGTCAACTCGGGTCGGGTCAAATCAGATTAATTCTATAACCTATGCGGGTCGGGTTTGGGTTGGGTCATGCTTGAGTCGGGTCACGTCGGGTTATACTTCTTATCGGGTTTGGGTCATGTTAATAACAAGTTGGCTTACGTTCGGGTCGGGTGAACTATAGGTCGGGTTTAATTTGGGTTTTCACTGGTTAAAATGGGTTAGGGTAATTCTCGGGTTCGAGTCGGGTTCGGTTCAAGTGAATAATTTGCGGGTTAGATCAGGTCGGTTCATTTTCGTGTTTGAGTCGGGTTCGGTTCAAGTCAATAATTTGTGGGTTATAATCAGGTCAGGTCATTTTCAAGTCAGGTCATTCTCGGGTTCAAGTCGGGTTTGGTTCAAGTCAATAATTTGCGGGTTATAATCAGGTTGGGTCATTCTCGGATTCAAGCCGGGTTATGTTCAAGTCAAAAATTTGCAAGTTACAATCAGGTCGAGTCATTTCCAAGTCAGGTCATTTTTGGGTTCAACTATGTATTAATAAATAATTATCATTTTATCAAGCAAATTATTTCCTTTGACAATAATATATATGGCAATATACTAGGGAACTATAGTTTATAATTTAGGAAGATAATTATCTCCTTTGACCATACAACAAATATATACTATATTTAACTCTTAAATTTGAGGATGATGCTCCTTTCTTTTGCTGGCCTGGACCGATTTGGTCTCCCTAGACAAAATGCTTTGATCAACAATAATAAGGTGGTCTAAATTGCATTTAAGGTGATTTGAAATCGGGTCATATATGAATAGTTTGGGTTGAATTTAGGTCGGGTAAATAACAAGTCGTGTTGATTTCGAGTCGGGTTAGTAACAGGTCGGGTTGAATTTTTAGGTCGGGTTTTTAATTGGTCTGGTAAAATTCGGGTCAGGTCAATAACAAGTTAGGTTGAATTTGGGTCAGGTCAATAACAAGTCGGGTTGATTTCGGGTCGAGTTTGTAACAGGTTGGGTTAAATTCGGGTCGAGTTAGGAACGGGTCGAGTTGAATTTAGGTCAGGTTAGTAACAAGTCGGGTTAAATTCCGGTTTAGATGGGTTAAAACGGGTTTAGGTCAATTTCGGTTCAAGTCGGGTTCGGTTCAAGTCAATATATACGGGTTACATTTGGGTCGGGTCATCTCTTTGGCAGTTCATGTTCGGGTTTGGGTCTCACATACTCGAGTGAACTGGGGTCTAGGGTTGGTTTCAGGTCGAGTTTGGGTCACCATTTTTTCGGGTACAGATGGATTGGTTTACAATCGGGTTTGAGTTGGTAGTTCAGGTCGAGTCAACTTTTGTCAGCTCTAATTATTAGTACACTCCTAAAAGTTTAACTAATTAAGCTAATTAGCATTCACACATCTGTGTGTGAAAACCACTTTTACTACGACAATAATTTTTAGTTTTGCGCAATTAATTTATAGAAATCTAACGTCCAAAATGTAAATTAAAATTATCAAACTAAAAACTAGAAATTGAATAAGAAATTATATCAACTAATCAGTAGAAAGTAGTAAGTACTACGTATATAAATCTCTTAGGTTAGTTGAGTGATTCTTAGGAATTTAAAATGCACCCTAGCAAATTGAAGGAATAATTAGAATACCAAAGAATTTAGGAACTGCATGTTGGCACCAAATGAGCTCAATATTGTTAGCCTCGTCAGTTCCATGCATCGCCGCTACTGGCGGGTGATGAGAAACCTACAAACAACGAGCCAGAAAATTAAATATGGTACTCCGAATTAAAGGAGTATAATTGATGTTTAAAATAACACGAATTAAAGTATAATATTGGAAAAATACACTTTAATAATCCCAACTATTGACAATTTAGTCTAATAATTCCAACAAAGATTTATAATCTAATAATCCCAACTATGTGTTTATTTTGCCTCCAATATTCCCAATGACTGGTAATCTGCTAGGAGGGTAAAAAATAAATTTGTTTTTTAAAAGTCGTGTGTCAGCACCTGATTGGTGTAGTATTAAAAAAAACAAACAAAAAAAAATCCTGATTGGTGGCAATTGGTGGTGGCCGGAATTATTGACTGCAATTTTAGTGTGTTTTTGGTGTGGCTGTGACGGTGGAGTTGATTTGGTGGCCAGAATTTGTGCGGCATTGAGAAAATGTAGGGCTCTTGTTATTATATATTGTGCAGGTGAAGGAGGAGCAGGGTGGTGATTGGTGAGCAGCATCGGTCGTTAGGTGGTTGGGCGTGAGGTGAACTGCTGCTAGGCGATAATTGTGGTGGTTTCGGTGTTGGAGATGCAGAGTGGCTCAAAGGTGGAGGTGTGCATTGATTGGAGGAGATATGAGTTGGTGTTGTTGTGGCTATATATGCGATGGTTGATTGGGGAAGGTGGTTCAGGGGAAGGGATGGTGGCCTGGTGGGGCTCTAGTTTAGGAGGGTACCATCGGTATTGGGTAGGTGCTCTGGCCTCTGACGGGGGTACCCTCTGGTGGTGGGGGGGGTTGCTGCTGGCAAGGGGGGAGGGGTTTTCTCTCACTCTCTCTTTTTCTTTTTCTTTTTTTAATTTTAATTTTTTAAAATTTTGAACCAATCACGTGTTGACACATGTGATGATAACCTGTTATAACAAATCGTTAACTTGGTGTTGACTGGTTGGGACTATTGGAGGCAAACACATAGCATAGTTAGGATTATTAGGGTATGTTCTCATTGACTGAACTGAACTGAACTGAATTATATTGAACTGAACTGAATTGAGCTGAACTGAACTGAATTGAGCTGAACTGAACGGAACTGAAATGAAATGAATATTTTATAAGAGAAGGAAATTAGGAGCTGAACTGAACTGAACTGAACTGAATTTCAACGTAAGAGAACAAGCTCTTAGTTTATAAACCTTAGTTGCGATTATTGAAAGTAAATTTCCCATAGTTGAGATTATTAAAGCGTATTTTTTCTTATTTTTATATGTAACTACAAAAGACTGAAATAAATTACTCGTACGTTACGAACATAAGTACGTACTTCTTCAGCTAGGATGTTGAGGGTGCCTCTAGACGCATGATGAGTTTCGCCAAGAATGGGGTTGAATGGGGCAACTCCAAACACCCACATACGAACGGTCGAGAGATTCCAAGCAACAACGGAGATCATCCGATCAACAGCATTCTCTCCGGTCGTGCATTTTCTAAGCATGTCCATGTTTACACAATAGACTAATTCTCCATAGCATTGTAGTTGTGGTTTTGGAAGATTAAAGAAGGGAGGTAGCTGAAAATTTACAAAGTAAAATTTCCTAATTTATTAATGAATTAGAGTAAAAACATAATTTTATATGACCAATTTTTAAGTGGCGTTTTATTTATTAATGTAGTAGGCAAGTAAAAAAAAAAAAACCTTACATTGAAACGAGTAAGATCAGTTCAAGGTCTTATGTTCTTGAATAGACTGAAAAGTAATTGAAGAATATTGGGAGCCTTGTAATCGGTATCCGATGTCCCTTCTAGAGAGAGTGGAGATGTTAAAATGATATCCTTCTTGTTCTCAATCTTCAATTCGTGAACCTAAACATCCATCACCAAACAATTATAAGTTAAGCCCTATATAAGGCCTCTCTGTAATTTTATGTTACAAATTTTTTTAAGGCTATACAAGTACATAGACGCCCCATTATTCGGTAAGATTATCAATGTTCATTCTCATGATTACTCAAAATGACTCCAAATTTATTACTACATATGTTTCTTATTAATTAGTTACAACAAAGTAGTATTTTATTTCTTATAAATAATAACTTTTTTGTTCCAAATAATAATAAGAAACAGATGTAATATTTATTTTCTAAAATTATCTCCATACTAGTTATCACTTTTCCCGTGGCAATGGAAAAATATGATAAACACACGTGTTTTGAAAAGGAGATTGGGTTCTCGTGGAGATTTAAGGTTGCTTTTACACTAACTTACAATTAAAATTCAAGCCGGTTATCTGATCAGTGCTTCCCAGGGCCTCATAGTTATGCACAAGGAAATATATAACAATGATATGATAATTTTGTAAATAATGACATTTTGAGAGTAATACTGAGAGGTAATATAGTACTCCCTCCGTCCCTTAATACAATACCTCTTTTGAGCATTTATTCCTCACATAATAAAGAGAAAGAGGCATAAGGGACGGAGGTAGTATTATTGAACATTCTCAATAGCACTTTATGTAATCACAGTAGTATAAAAGACACTCTTAGTATTACTCCATCCGTCCCTAAATTAAAAGCTTTTTTTTCTCTTTATTATGTGAGTAATAATTTAATAAATGCTAGAAAGAGGTTTTGTATTAAGGAACGGATGAAGTACTTAATAAAACATCTCAGTATTTGTTATATTATGTAAATAATCGTATATAATTAGTTTGTAATTTACTAATGTAGCCTTAGCCCTAACCTAGCATACGCTTGTATTATATATTGACTTTTGATCAATGAGAAAGGCACAACAAATATTCTCTCATGGCATCACGAGTTTAGGTTTTTCAAACCCTAATTCTCTTCCGCTCATCTTCTCTGATCTTCTTCTTCTACCTCTTTTCTTCTTCAATTTCGGTTCTCACCAATGGCCGAACAAAAGATTCACCCTGCTACACTTGTTACTAACATCAAAACTTCATCCCTATTGTTCTTGATTACAGTGGTACTCAATACAATACTTGGTCCACACTATTCCAACTCCATTGCCGTACAAATTTAGTGATCGACCATATTATCCCTCCGATTGTTGTTGACAAGGCGAAAGCTCCTGAATCTTCTTCTTCTGACCCTGCACTATGGCAAAGACTTGATAACATCGTTCGACAATGGATATATAATACCATCTCGACCGATCTCCTCGATTCGATTATAGATCCCGATGACAAGGCTATCGATGCTTGGAAAAGGTTGCAGAATTTCTTTCTCAACAACAAGTCAGCCCGTGCTCTTCATCTTGATGCGCAATTCACAAACACCAGGCTCGATCAATTCGAGGGTGTTAAGCCGTATTGCACTCGATTGAAGTCTCTTGCGGATAGTCTCCGGAATGTTGGTGATGCAGTTTCTGATAATCGTATGGCATTACAATTATTGAAGGGGCTCTCGGAAGATTACAAGGACTTCCGTACCTCTGTTCGTCACCTCAATCCTCTTCCCAATTTTGACGCCTTGCGCTCTATGCTTGAATTGGAGGAGCAGGGTAATGCAACCGATGTTCTACATTCCAGTGAGGAGGCTCACCTCTCACAATCATCATCAGCTGCATTTAATTCGCAGCAGGGCAAGGCGATTTATGAATCTCCTCGCAACTCACAGCCTGCTCGCGGTGGTCGGAAACCCAAGGGAAAGGGAGGCAAAAAGAGCGGTGCTGGGTCCGGTGGTCGGAGCAACCAGCCGCCGCAACACACACCGAAGCAGTCACAGTCGGCACCACATCACTCCTCGAGTCAGCAGAGGTGGCAATATCCACATCCTTGGGCATATTGGCCTGCACCTCCCTGCCCATATCCATCGCAAGCACTTGGCCCAATGCAGTGGGCTGCTCGGCCCAGTCAGTCAAGTCAGCCACAGCCTGGTCTTCTCGGGTCCAGACCACAGCAGCAGGCGTACTACATGTCCGACCCACCTTCCCATTCTTCAGGGTATGTGCCAACCAACATCGAGCAAGCTATGCATACAATGTCCCTTGCCGATCCAAATTATTATATGGATATCGAGCTACATCTCATATGACGAACTCTCAAGGTAACTTGTCGTCATATTTTCATTTGAGAAAAAATAATAATAATACTATTATTGTTGGTGATGGTAGCAAAGTTACAATACATGGTTATGGTCACAAGTCCCTAAACCGAAACACACTTCACCTCAAAAATGTCCTCCACGTGCCTAAACTTGTCAAAAATCTAATTTCTGTTAGAAAATTCACTATTGATAATCATGTGTCAATTGAATTTGATCCTTTTGGGTTTTCTGTGAAAAACTTGCAGACGGGGAGCAAAATAGTGAGATTTAATAGCAGTGGCGATCTATATCCCTTCTTCACAGATCGTCAAGTCATTTCCAATTCCATTCCGTCAGCCTTTGCGGTTATTTCTCCTAGTGTATGGCATTCCCATTTAGGTCATCCGGGAAATGCAATTCTTAGTTCTTTACGTAGTAGTAATCTCATTAATTGTAATAAGGCTTCTAAGCACATTTGTCATTCTTGTCCTTTGGGAAAATTAATGAAATTGCCTTTTTATGATTCAATGTCTCATACTACTATGCCTTTTGATATTGTTCACAGTGATTTATGGACCTCTCCCATTGTTAGCTCACTTGGTCACAAATATTATGTTCTCTTTCTTGATAATTACACGAATTTTCTATGGACTTTTTCTATCTCTTCCAAGTCTCAGGTCTGTGACCTATTCATTCGTGTTCGAACATATATTAAGACTCAATTTGAGAGGGAGATTAAGGCTTTCCAATGTGATAATGGAACGAAATTTACCAAAGCTCCTTTTAAAAATTTTTGTGAACAAAATGGCATGACTTTTCGTTTTTCTTGTCCTCATACTTCTCCTCAAAATGGCAAGGCCGAAAGAAAAATTAAAACGATCAATAACATTGTTCGAACTCTTCTTTGTCATGCTTCAATGCCCCCTACTTTTTGGCATCATGCTCTTGAAATGGCTACCTATCTTCATAATATCCTACCGACAAAAATTCTAGACTATAATTCTTCCACTCAAGTTCTATATCAAAAGATTCCCGACTACTCTCATCTTAGGGTATTTGGTTGTCTATGTTATCCCCTCTTTCCATCCTCTAAAATTCACAAACTTCAAGCTCGTAGTAGTCCTTGTGTTTTTCTAGGATATCCATCTAATCATCGAGGGTATAAGTGTTTTGATATGTCAACCCGGAAAATTATTATAGCTAGACATGTTTGGTTTGATGAGTCGGTTTTCCCCTTTTAAAAAATTCATACTCCCGAGCCTCATTCTTATGATTTTTTGGGTAGTGAATTGAACATGCTTGACAACCTCTCTTTCCATCACACTCTCACTCAAACCGAGCTCTAACCACAACCTGTCCACGTTGCTGCCACACAACAGGCTTCGCGGGCAGGCTGCGGTGAGGGAGCACAGGCCGCGACCCCCCCGCGCAGTCCCCTGCTCTCTCCCTCTCGTCTTCATCCTCTGCTGCCCGGCTTTCCCACGCCCAGGAAGCTTTATCTCCTCAAAGACAGCAACCCACGCCCTCTCGCTCTCCTTCCCCAATGCGACCACCTTCCCCCACAACCCTTGGTGAGGCCGAGCATTCTCCATCTTCTACTCTCACTCACTATTCTCCTCCCTCTTTCATTCCCGCACCATCCCCAATGCCTACTCATTCCATGGCTACTCGTAGCAAGCATGGCATTATCAAACCAAATCCCAAATACCAAGATCAAACACATCATACTACTACCTCCATATCACCCATTCCAAAGAACCCGGTTACCGCCCTTCGTGACCATAATTGGAAAATTGCTATGCAGGAAGAATATGATGCTCTTATTGAAAATGGTACTTGGAATGGTTCCGCGGCCACCGAATGTGAATATAATTCGGTCATTGTGGATTTTCCGACATAAGACTAAGTCTGATGGGTCTTTTGAAATACATAAGGCTCGTCTCATTGGTGATGGTAAAAATTAAAGGGAAGGAATTGATTGTGATGAGACCTTTAGCCCGGTTGTTAAACCGGTTACTATTCGGGTGGTTCTTAGCATTGCTTTGGCTAAGTCTTGGCAAATTCATCAATTAGACGTGAAAAATGCTTTCTTACATGGTCATTTGAATGAAACGGTCTAAATGTATCAACCTATGGGATTTAAAGATCTTAATAAACCTGATCATGTCTGTTTATTAGAGAAGTCACTATATGGTCTGAAACAGGCACCTCGTGCGTGGTACAAACGTTTTGCAGATTTTGTGGCTACTATTGGTTTTTCTAATAGCAAATTTGATACCTCTTTGTTCATCTATCGCCATGGTAATGATACTGCTTATCTTCTTCTATATGTTGATGATATTGTTCTTACTGCTTCATCGGAAACTCTCCGACGACATATTATTTCTCGGCTAAGCTCTGAATTTGCTATGAAGGATTTGGGTCCTATGAGTTATTTTTTGGGTATTGCTGTTACTAGAGGTAAAAATGGTTTATTTTTATCTCAAAGGAAGTATGCGCAGGAAATTTTGGAAAAGGCAGGAATGGCAAATTGCAAGCCTTCGCCTACTCCTGTTGACACCAAAGGCAAATTGAGCACTCATGAGGGTGCTTTGTATGACGATCCTACTTCTTATCGGCGCCTCTGTGGTGCTTTGCAGTACTTGACATTCACCCGACCAGATATCTCTTATGCAGTTCAGCAGGTTTGCTTGTTTATGTATTCACCCCGTGTTGAGCACATGCATGCGTTGAAACGCATTCTACGATACATTAGAGGTACGACAGGTTTTGGTTTGCAGTTGCATAAATCTCCTATTTCTTCTCTTGTGTCATACACGGATGCAGATTGGGGCGGGATCCGGATACTCGTCGTTCTACATCAGGGTATTGTGTGTACCTTGGTGATAATTTGATTTCTTGGTCTTCGAAACGCCAACCCACTTTGTCTAAGTCTAGTTGCGAAGAAGAGTACAGAGGGGTTGCCAATGTGGTTTCCGAATCCTGCTGGATTCGCAATTTGTTGCTCGAGCTATTTCTTCCTATTTCGAAAGCAACATTGGTTTATTGTGACAATGTTAGTGTGATTTATCTTTCTAGTAATCCGGTTCAGCATCAACGCACTTAGCACATTGAGATGGACATACACTTCGTTCGTGAGAAAGTTCAAAGGGGTGAAGTTCGTGTCCTACATGTGCCTTCCCGATACCATATTGCAGACATCTTCACCAAAGGTCTGCCTAAGGTTTTATTTGATGATTTTCGGGGCAGTCTAAGCGTTCATGGTCCTGCCGCTTTGACTGCGGGGGAGTGTTAGATTATGTAAATAATCGTATGTAATTAGTTTGTAATTTACTAATGTAGTCTTAGCCCTAACCTAGCATACGCTTGTATTATATATTGACTTTTGATCAATGAGAAAGGCACGACAAATATTCTCTCAGTATTAGTGTATTACTATTAAGAATTTCGGTACGGAGTAATATAAAAGGTTGTTATACAATTTTACTTGTGTCTAATGGTAATGAATTATGACTTCCTTGCTACCCAACAATCACTAATGCATTGAATAGTAAAATTTGTTTGATTTTAGATGGTACGAGTAATGTACTAATGTTAAATGCGCAAAGGCTAAGCTACCTAGTACGGATTGAAAACAGATACTCGTAACATTATTGAGTGCTGTTAATTACTCCGATATGCATGGTCAGCCAAATGGCTGCCATGTGCAACGTGGTTTTTATAAGTGTACCTGATGGCCGACATGGCAACATTAACTTATTAAGTACTACCTCCGCCCCTAAATTATATTCCTGTTTCTAGCATTTATTTTTCACATAATAGAGGAAAATAGGAATGTAATTTAGGGACGGAGGGAGTAATATAGATGCATTCTGCTCAACCGATTTTAGTTACGTAAATTTTACCTACGTTTAATTGTTCCAAATTTAAACTTTTTTTTTTAAAAGTTATCTTATCTAAAATAACTAATTCTAATCTAAACCTTTTCCTTAAAAAAAGTTTGGAATATTTTATTTTAGAGGGTGAAAAATTATTAGTTTTGAAGTGTTGAGTGAGGAGACAAATAAATAAATAAGTAAAAGGTTTTAAATGTTTATGCTGCCTTTATGGTTTTGAGAATGCGAGGTAGTTAATGTATGCAATGGTTGTACTTCAACTACGTAGAATTCATATTAATTGGTTGTTAGATATTTTATGAACTTGCTATTTAGTCCATCTGTGTTAATAATATGTGAAAGGGAGTGTTGAACACGTAAGCAAGCTCGTTCTTAATATTTTGGTGGCCTATGAACAAAATAACAAATTGGGGCCCATATATATATATATATATATATATATATATATATATATATATATAATGACATTTTGCATAAAAAAGTAATCCACCATAATATGAAACTTTTTTAAAAAAAATTATAGACATAAATATTAAGGAATTTAATTAATGAAGGATGTTATACGGAATCACGGAGAGCATTCATATTCATTTACCACCTAATTACTAATTTCCATTAAGCACATTTTTTTTGAAAGACATTAAGCACTTTTTTTAATACTCCGTAAAACTTATATTTAACAAAAAAATAAAAATAAAGTATCTCTAGGGCCAAGGCAGTGTTCCAGGGACGGGCCCGCATTTAAGTGTCCCATACTCCCATATTGAGAAAAGAATAGAGAGTAACACATGCTATTATACTAAGGGTCTACTCCTTTCATTGTCATATGGTTTATAGATGGAACTTCATCTGATCTTGTGAAGTAAACTCTTTTGTTAATCCGTGTGTGAGTAAGTATAGACCACTACCAGGTATGGATAGTTGGAGTCCATACCACAATAAAAAAAATACGTAAAAAAAATTGTAAAATTTAAAAAGCTAAAACAAAGTGGAAAAGGAAGAAGGATTAGAGGGTGAAAAAAACAGGAACTCAAAAAACTACCACTCACGAGAAAAAGCTCCGGTGGTCGGAAAATCAGTCCCACAAAAACCCCATCAAAGTTGCAATAATCT